TAGGTCTCTCTTCGGCGATCACGGTGTCGGGGGCGTAGCGTGCTCGCCTTTTTAGCGATGTGGTGCTGGTGTGCGGCCAGTGGCTGGCCTAGTGTTTTGCTTTGGTGCTGTGTCGATCACTGGTGCCTCCATCGCCCACGAAGGTGAGCCTTAACCGGAAGAAGAAGAAGAAGAAGAAGCGGCCTCCTCATCCTATGGAAGTTTATCGCTGAACGGGCAGCCTGGTGGGGTGGCTGGTAGGAGAGGCTGGTGCGCTCGGTCAAAGTCTGTCTTCGAAAGATTCTCGGACGACAGAGCCTATCCTTCGAAGCACTCAGAGCAGTGTTGATCGACGTCGAAGGAGCTATAAACTGCCGGCCAATGACATACCTCCGATCAGACACCAGTGAGTGTTATATTCTGCGCCGACGCGGCGGTGCTTTAAAGCCTGGCTACATTGGACGCAAGCGCCGGTGACTCACGTTCGACGTAGCCGGGAAACTACATGCCCCGAGCGGACCTGGACGGTCGCCGGAGCGAGAAGAAAGGACAACCAACGGATTCAGGAGCGGGGCGAACACTGGCCGATGAGGCCGCAGATCACGCGCGGCTCATGCCGTCCCGTGCTGTCCTTTTTATTCTTTTACACGGATGCACGAGATGGCTACTTTAAAAAGGAGATGTCAAGTAGCGCCATCTCGTGCAAATCAAGATACTACATTCTCCCTCCCTTAAAAAAAAAAAAAAGAAAATTGTGGGAGGAAGACTTACGTTATACATTCGTTATGTGAAAAAAATAACGAAAATCAAAACACTTCACCACCCGGAAATTGCGTTATTTCACTGGAAATATTGGTTTTAAAATTGTTCGTTGAAACACAAAAAAAAATATGAAATTCGCAAAAGATTGTTCATAAACGTTCTTTGTGTGCACGCCACGGAAAATTCAACAAAATCCTGAACAAGTCATCCGAACAAAACGGGTTTTCACTGAAAGTTCAGGTTGCATCATACTAGTCACGTGACGATCAAAATTTCATTCCAAGAGTCATATTTCAACTTAGAGCACTCTCATCTCTCCTCCTCCTGGGAAGAAAATGAAACATCCAACCATACCTATTTTAATGTCCATGACACATTGTAGTGTTGACTGTTAGTTTGGTTATTGTTTAGAATATTGTGTTTGTCATGGACATTTTTACCTTGGCCAAGGTTTTGCTATAACAGTGATATGCTTTTAATGTTCTATATCTACCCAAAGTTTATACCAAAAATGACCTTTTTCGAAAACATAACTACAAAAGTCTTAGTCACTGTACTCCGAATCTGACTGAAAACTATCATCGCCAAGTGCAAGAATATAGTCTTTGAACTTCAGCGGAAGTCTTCTCTGGCGTATTGGCCGACCTTGGCTCGCTGGTGGTAGAGGAGCTGTAGATGGCTCGGAGATCGTGGGTGGTGTGTGGAACTTGGTCGTGAGTTCTTCCACTGAATCCTCAAGTGGAGGCATAGATGGCGTACTCGTTCCCGAAGACTCCAGAGGTGTACTCGTTTCTGGCGACGGCAAAACGAGCAGTTCTGCCCGTGTGTCTGGGCAAACTGCCAGATCGGAGACAGGTAGTTGCTCTGCAACCACGGACTCTGGTGATGACCCTGGCACAGCGTCCGGAGCAGCAACAACCACGGGCCCAGGAAGAGGCCTGACCGCCGGAACAGGACCGGGACCAGGCTCAGGGAGAGGCCTGATCTCTGCCTCAGGAACAGGCCTGAGTACAGGCTCAGGGAGAGGCCTGACCGCAGCCTCAGGAACAGGCCTGACAAGCCTGTCAGGCTCCACAGACTGTCCAGCGTCTGCCACGGAAGCAGGGCAGAGCTCAGGTGCAGAGATCCCGATCATGTCGGGTACAGCCGACCCGAGATTCCCCTCGGAAACAGGAGCAGGGCCCCCAGGAACAGAGGCAGGCCTAGGGCAGCTCCAAGAACAGTTCCAGGAACAGGTCCAGGAACAGGCCCCGGTACAGCACCCGGAGCAGGAGACTCGGCCGCAGCAACCGGAACTGTAAACTTTGGCGCAGCAAACAGATCTGGCTCCTTGGGAGAACCCAGCGCTGCGTGGCGAGGTGCACCTGCCATGGGTGCAGCAGATGAACCGGGTCTCCCCAAGAGACCAGACGCTGCGGGGTCACAGGAACCCTCCGGGCAAGAAAAGACAATTGGTACTTGGGACGTTGAAGTGCTTCCACGGACAGGGGTCAGTACAGGAACCACTGGAGTTGCAGGAGGTATATACAAGTCATCTTCGTCATCATCATCATCCCAACCGTAGTCAGGAACTTGTGCTGGAGGCAGCTGTATGGACTTTGCAAGCTTCGCTGCGTTCCATTTCCTACCGTCAGCGAGTTGATATGTAGCAGGTCCTAACTGTGCATGTATCTGTTGTGGTTCTGTATATGTACTCCGCAACTTGTTATGATGGGTGGGCTTGAATACGCGAACAGCCTGCCCAGGATGAAACTGAGGGTGTCGTACCGCTCTACGATGGTCAGAATAATCTTTCATGTTTTGTTGATAGCGCTGTACTCTTCCTTGTAGCTGAGCTCGACGTTCCAAGAGATCGTCAGGTACCGTCCTAGTCGGCATGCCTTGTACGTCTAGTCTAGACCGATGATTTCGTCCACGAAGGAGAAAGGATGGTGCAAATCCTGTTGCAGGATGTACCGTACGTCGGTACGCTTCCAGGTGGTCTCGGACGGCATCTGGAAGTGGACGACCTTGTACAACAGCTAACTGAAGGCACGACTTCAGGACTCGGTTAAATCTTTCCACCTGCCCGTTACATTGGGGGTGGTATAATGACGTTCTCCTATGTTTGATGCCATGTTGACGCAAGAAATCTTGAAATTCATGGGAGGTAAACTGTACTCCATTATCTGACACAATCTCGCAGGGCAGTCCCTCGCGTGAAAAAACGTTCTTCAAAAAGCTGATGACAGTCGCAGAAGTCACAGAAGACGTGGCTTGGACTTCTGGCCACTTGGAGTGGTAATCTATGAGTACCAAAAAAAACCTTTGACTGGCCGGTGCACGATCAACCGGGCCCACGATGTCGATTCCTAGCTTTTCCCAGGGCTGACTTGGAAACTGGATGGGCTGCAAGGGAGCCGGTGCAGCCTTCACTGGTTTGTCGGTAGCATGGCACACCGTGCAGTTCTGGATCTTGTTCTTTATGTGTTCATTCATCAACGGCCACCAGTAGTGTTCCCGGATCACACTTGTGGTTCTTGTGATCCCCTGATGAACTTCGTGTGCTACTTCCACGATCCGGTCTCGAAACTCGACAGGGACGACAAGTTTTTCTCCCTTGTACAAAATACCGTCGTACAGCGACAGTTGGTCTCTGACGTGATAGTAAGGCCGGAGATCTGGATTGGTTTTACTATCTTCAGGCCAAACCGAGGTAGTATAGCGGATGACTGAAGGAAGAACTATGTCATTGGCCGTAGCCTGTTGAAAACCACCTTTCGACAAAGGAACCATTACGACGGAAACAACTTCCTCGTCGAATCTCATGCCCTCCTCAGTGTCAGATACTGGCAACCGTGAAAACGCGTCAGCAACGACGTTGGTGGCGCCCTTCTGAAACTCCATTTTGAAATTGTAATTCAGAAGTCGGGAGGACCAACGAGTGATCCTTAGAGGACGGATTCCGGAACCTTTGTTGGACAGCAACGTGACCAACGCCTGATGGTCAGTACGAATGACAAAAGACCTTCCCCACAGATACACGTGCCACTTTTCACACGCCCAAAGACATGCGAGAGCTTCCTTCTCGCCCGTGGAATACCTTCGCTCTGCATCAGTTAGCGAGCGAGACGCGAAGGCTACAGGACGAAGCTGGCTACCATACTGCTGCTGCAAAACAGCACCGAGACCGTACTGAGAAGCATCTGTGGCCACGACGATAGGCAACGTCGGGTCAAACATGGCCAAAATTGGAGCTTCTTGGATGGAAGTCTTTACTTTCTGAAAACTGGCCTCGACTTCCGGAGACCAGTTGAAACGAACTCCTTTACGTAGGAGACGACGCATCGGTTCGACGACCGTGGAACAATGAGGGATGAACTTGCTGTAGTACTCTACCAGCCCTAAAAATGCTCTTAACTTCACTGCATCAGAGGGAGATGCAAAATTTAGGACCGCATCTACCTTGGATGACAGGGGTGCTAAACCTTTCACGGAAAGATGGTGTCCCAAAAATGAGAGCTCCTGTACTTGGAAAACACCTTTACGGTTTAGCTTCATTCCTGCTTGGGAAATTCGAGACAAGACACGACGGAGATTCTCATCGTGCTCCTTCAAAGTGGATCCATAAACGATGATATCGTCCAGATAGAACTGAACGCCTGGACAATCCTTTAGGATTTTGGACATGAGTTGCTGGAAAGCTGCGGGTGCGGATGCCAGCCCGAAGCAAACTCTCTTAAAGCGAAATAACCCCTCGTGGGTAATGAAAGACGTGAGGTCACGACTCACCGGGTCGAGACGGACTTGATGGTAGGCGGACGCCAAATCCAGCTTGGAGAAGATCGCCGCTCCCCGTAGAGAGTTCAACAGTTCATTGATGCAAGGAAGTGGAAATGAATCAATGACAACGGCCTGGTTCGGAGCTCGTAGGTCCACACACATACGGATGTTGCCATCGGGCTTGCGGACGACAACAATAGGTGACACCCACTCGGAGGCTTCGACACGTTCAATTACGCCCTCTCGCTCCAGCTTGAAAATTTATTCGGAAACCCGATCCCTAAGGGTCATCGGGAGGCGACGGAGCTTTGATAGGACTGGTGGAACTGTGTGCCGCACCTTGACCTTGTGCGAGTGATTCTTCAGTAGACCCAACCCCGGGCAAAAAAGATGTTCAAAATCTTCGAAGCCAGGTGGCAACTTGGATGCGTCTTGCTTCGAGGAACCACCAACAAGGCTCGTCGACGGACTGGATATCTCTGGATGACGCTGCATACCTTGGGGCGCTTGACTCCCCGGATGATCTTGTGGACCGTGTAGTCCGTGACTCTCAGGACTGTAGAGCTCTTGACTCTCAGGATGACGCTGTGGATGATAGAGCCCTTGACTCTCAGGATGACGTTACGGACTATGGAGCCCTTGACTCTCAGGATGACGTTGCGGACTTGACTCGTTCTCGAAGACTTTAGGTGTGGTCTCTTCAGAGACCGATGAAGCAGGAGACGGGTTCTCCGCAAATGAAGGTCTGGAACTTGCCGCTGGTCGAGAACCAGGGACTTGCGATGCTTGACAGGACGACGCGGTGAACGGTCGTCGCTGCGGGTTGGGCGTGGGCCTCACATCCCGCTGTGGTGCTCCTCCTCCGTGAGCTGCATTCGCATACAAACACTCATGTTTAGCGCCATTCAACACCAGTTGCAACTCGCGGACCGCGTCGATGCCGAGTAACGAGCGTCCAGTCTTGGTTACGTAAAACTCCAACGTTGTCCAGCGGTTCTTAAAAATTCCTTGTCCCACAAAACATCCAAGTACCGGAATGGTCTCTTGCAAATAGTGGACGAGGGGCGTCGACGGCGGATGTAACTTTATCCTCCGCTGCTTATTAACTTCGTTAAACATGCGTTCATTTAGGATCGACACACATGCACCGGTATCAACAAGAAGACGAAGAGGGGTCCCATTTACCGTGATCTCGGCCATAAAGGCGTCACGACGCATGCTGCCGCCTTCTTGTCGCTCAGCCGTCCCGACGACCACAGGTTCCTCCGTCAGCCTGACGCTTGGCAGCTCCTCAGGAGACAGCGACTGGCCGACCACGTTCACCCGGCCGGGCCGGTCCCCTCTGAACTGTCTGTCGGCGAAGGTCCGCCGAGTACCACGGCCTTGAACCGGGAACGATGCCTGTCGCCGATCGTAGGTGAAGGCAGCCGCCGGCGGGCGACGACTCTGACACGCCACTGCAAAGTGTCCCCACTTTCCACATAAGAAGCATGTCGCTTGAGACGCCGGGCAAACCGCCCGATCATGACGGCGGCGTCCACAGAAGTAGCAGGCGTCGTCTGCTCCGATCCCACCCGTCCGAGGCGGAGCGGGATCACGCCCATGCTGAGGCTGGAACACCCTCGCCGGAAAACGGGGCACGTGACCGGAGGCCACCGGAGCCCAAGGCATCCTGGGTCCAAGCTGCGACGGCGGGTAGCCAGGTTGAGGCCAGGGAGGGTAGCCGCTGTAGCCATCTTGCCCATGCTCGATGAAAGAAGACGACGCTTGGCCGCCATCTTGTGTTGCTGCCGTTTGACGTTTCTCGATCTGGACACGCTGGACTTCTGCCGCGACCGGGACTTGCGACTCTCGCCGCCGAAAACTTGCGGCCGTCTTTGCTCTCTGCTCGTACTGGCGAGCGATCTGGATAGCCCGCGACAGCGTTGGCAGCTCGCTGCCCTCGCACTCCTGCAGAACGCGATCCTGAACGCGTCTGGACTCCAGGCCTTCCAAGAAAACCTCGCAAAGTCTTTCATCGAGCGCGTTCCCCAGAGCACAAAACGAAGCCTGATGGCGCAACACGGCAAGAAACTCAGTTACCGACTGGCCGGGACGTTGGAACAAACCGCGTAGCTTCTGGCGTTCAAGCGCGATACTACCCGAAAACTCAAAATGCTTCTCGACTGCCTCCAGAAAAACCTGGAACTCGTCAGTCCCCTCCACCGCAACCGTCTCGTACAGCTGAAATGCATCCACGATGCGCTGGCCCTCAGTGCCCAACAGCGAAAACAGGATGGCTTTTTTCCGGAACGGTTCTACGAGATGCAACGCCGACGCGTCAAGAAAAGTCAGAAAAGCACGCTTCCATGCCGGCCAAGCTACTATCGGCGGACCGGGCACTGCCAAAAAGACGGCCGGCGGCGGGAACGCCGTTGGGCCGCTCGAAGACGAAGATGACGAAGTCATCTCACGATGAAAATGGAACGTACTGAAAACCTAGGCCTAATGCCTCCCCCCGAAACTCATCAAACGCGGCCTTTCCGCAAAATATGACTACCGTTCACCCGGAACAAAAAGGAATACATTTCATGAATACAGTTACGCGCCGGTTTCCTCAACCACTGACCCGCGACGCGGAGTGAAGCCCCCTCCCGAATCCCGGGTTACAAAAAAGGAAATGCTACATATTAAAACAAATATCTCATCCTCGTCGCCACAATGTTATATTCTGCGCCGACGCGGCGGTGCTTTAAAGCCTGGCTACATTGGACGCAAGCGCCGGTGACTCACGTTCGACGTAGCCGGGAAACTACATGCCCCGAGCGGACCTGGACGGTCGCCGGAGCGAGAAGAAAGGACAACCAACGGATTCAGGAGCGGGGCGAACACTGGCCGATGAGGCCGCAGATCACGCGCGGCTCATGCCGTCCCGTGCTGTCCTTTTTATTCTTTTACATGGATGCACGAGATGGCTACTTTAAAAAGGAGATGTCAAGTAGCGCTATCTCGTGCAAATCAAAATACTACAGTGAGCCAGCTGCATTTGCGCCTGCCCATTTTTTCTTCGGGAGAAGACCACCACACTACTGGAAATCGAGCCGCCTGAAGCGTCCTTTAAAGGCAGTCTCGTCCGCCTTTGGAAGTTTCACAAAACACTTATGGAACAATTCTGGAGGCGTTGGCAGCGAGAGTATTTGCTGGAGCTACTCTCGGCACATCTCGCCCGACCCATGGACAGTTGCCCGTCGAAAGTCGGCGACCTGGCTCTACTGTGCGAGGACAACACTCCTCGCCACCTGCGGAGGGCTGCCGCATTATACCGAGGTCTTCAGTGGTACCTACAGACATGAACGAGCCTGTGCTGTTGGTTGCCATCTGGAGTCACAACCCGAAGACCAGTGCAGTTGCTGTACAACACAGACATCATGTGATGAAATGAGCTGGGCTCATTTTGGGGGTGGGGATGGGTGGGGGGGGGGGGGGGGGGGGAGGTTGTTAGAAATTAGGAGGAAAGCTTTCTTAGTAGTGTGCGCGTGAACATGATGGTTGGGAGACACGAAAAAAAAAAAGAAGCAGTTTAAGTATAATCATTGCACCGAAGCAGGTCGTATTGTTCGTTTACCTCTTCTAGCGCTCTCTGTGCAAAACAGTAAGTCAATGTAAGCGGCATCCTTAGATTTTCTAGAATCACCGAGCTGATCAACGAATGGATTTCGGCCCTTTGTGGCCATAATGACTGGATTTGGAGCTTCGTTCGCTTCCAATATGACGACTTCAACAGTCGTGCCAGGTGCATATATGTGCGCCTGCCAAGTCAAATTTAGTTGACTTAACTTTGGTCACGATACATATTGCAACGCCGTAAAGAAACTAAACTGCATGTTCCATGTTGGTTGCGATGCATACTGAGAACACCCGCAAACGCATTGGGAAAATATGTGAGCGCTACACAAACCCTTTCACGCGGGCGTGCAAAAATAATCGCAGTCAAAATTCATACCTAAATTTCTATCGATGCAAACCACAGTTCTCAAGTTGAACAAAGTCACGCGCATCGTTAGAACGCTAATATCCACTTGCGCGATGGTGACGGAGGGTAAAAGAGATAATTGCTTGAATTGAATTTATTGTTACGCGGCCAAACAAAAGGCAGCAGGCGCAGTCAGCTCCGGTGATCATGAGCAGAACCACGGCAGAACCTGGGGCCTGGGGCCGCTCAGTTCATATACGCGACCATGTACCCTCCAATGGTGACGTGTGGTTCATATTTGAGAGTATCGGCCGGGAGGATGAAAAATAGGCAAGCGACACGGGAGGATGATTTGGGAAAGCTACGTGGCAGAGAACAGATTAATAACCTGGCGAAACCGAAACTGAAACTGCCCGTTGGCAGTCTCCTGCTCCCAGAGCGTAACTGACCCGCTAGAAGCGCTGCTATTTTGCATGTTGCTCATTGCCTGCCGCTCACGCGGTTTGAAAAAAAAAAAAATGCACCAAACTTTAAAAGAATAAGTAAAAATAAAGCGTGTGGTAATTTTATTTCGCCAGTATTCAGTAAAGTTTACTTGAAATTAAAGAATATCATCGACACGGTGCGTTCCCCCGCAGGGTTTCATACAAACCCGAGTCCATCGCCTTCCGCATGCCGCCACGCCGTCTATCGTAAGGCGGAGGTACCTGCCGAGTGGGAGCCGCCATGTGTACGCTCTCCGGTCGCACCGCTGCGGCAGGTTTCAGTGGACGTTTCCCCACCTGCCTATCTACACCCTTGTATCGCTGCACTAGTGTCCCCCTGCGGCCCCTGAGGTTTAGGGACCCCCTAACTTTGTGGCCCCCCCCTATTCTGAAACTTCCTAGTTCCTGCGGCTTCCTTCACGTGTGGAACCAAGGATCGTGCGACAAAAGAAACAAAGCACAATGATGCGTTTTTTTGTTTTTTTTTTTAAAATCAGGACAAACATTTTATATTGTTGCCACTCTAAACGCTTGTAAAGCAGTCCCCGCCCAAAATTTGCGAGTGAAAGGCCCTGGGCTATTTCAGTCCACGCGTACGCGGACTGCAATAGTATTTGATTTCCATTGCAGTAACCCTTTCTGACAAATTTATGTGGTTTTCGTTCTTCTTAAATTAAAAACAAAAACTAAATATGAATAACTAACGATTGTAAACGAAGACGAGCGGATTCCATAAACTTCGCAGAGTCACCTGAAATGGTTTCCAGATTACCGAAACTCCCAAGCTCCGCGCTGTAAGTGCTCAAATTCATTCATTTCCGCGCCGCAATTTTGGAGCCTTGCATAGTGCACCTGTACGATAACTGTACGCAACGTGCGCCGTTGGCGTTGGCGACAGGTTTTTCAGGTGAGTGTGTGGCGCTGTGGATAGCCACCATAAATTATTTACATTCCAGTCTAGCTGCACTCGTGTAATTATTACATCGTGGTTTACGTTAAAGAGATTAGTCCCTCTCGTTGTCTAAATATCCAGACAGACCTATAGTTTATTCGACGAGGGTGGTCTGTGCCGTGATAGCGAAGGAAGAACTTTGTCTCTTAGATCTTAGCTGCTGGCATCTTTATAACGTTTTTGAGCATTCAAAAGATTGCCGTACAACGCCACAGTATTTCATCGATTTATTCAGAACTGCAACTGATATGTTCAGGACTGTACAGCAACAAAATTTAATAAAAGCCTCAAGCTCTTACGATAAAAAAAAGTCATGGTGAGCTCGTTGATGATGATTAAATTATGAGAAACAATACACAAATAAACAAGAATAGCAAACAGAAAGATTAAACGAAAGATGTCTCGTCTTGTCAGTCTTTTTGTTTACTCTTTCTGATACTTTAGTCTTACGGTAGTTTGACAATTGATTTGCTGGAAAGATGAAGCTTGCAGCGAGGTTCAGCAATGATTTCCCCATGATGCACGAGTTCAACTATAGGCGTTTTCTGTTTCCTGTCGTTCTCGGTCACGTGGGTTCCGTATCTGGTACGCGGGACGAAAAAATAATCAAAACATTTCAACCTGGAATATAGGAGAAAATATAGGTCAGGCAAAACATGAATGTGTCACAATCACGCATTTTTCGTAAGCACCTTCCAGCGGCGCGGAGAGATCGAAACGACGTTTTACCGCATACCAGAAGTGACGACATTCAAGATGGCTGCGCCCTTGTGGAAAAGGTGTATAATAAAAAACAGAAAGAACCGACATCGACAACCCTCAACCACCCTCAGTATACACGCGAAGCTACCTTTGACAAGCTTGCAATCACTCGCGCTTAATTCACGAGCATCGAGACACTATACAAGCCTGCCAATGATATCATTGCGTGCAAGCTGCGCGTGTAGGAGGTTCGTCGGTGCCATTTGTTTCTGTTTGTCATTAAAAAAAAAATAGTGGGACTCGGGCATGACGAGTCTCGAGGTAGTTGGCATTTGATGCGATATCTGCAAATGGTTAATACAGACAAATGGAGCCGCCGGTGTGTTACGAGAATGGCTTGACATGAAATCGGTAACACTCTAAAGTAAAAACACGAAGGATGTCTGTACCTAGGGTGCCTCAATGCCCTTCTGTTTAGGGTGATGCCAGCCTTTGTAGTACCCGATGCCGACAGCACGCGGTCACAAGGAAAATACAAAGAAATCGACGAAAACAAAATGTCGCCATAGCACAGCCAGCGCCACGAACGGGTGCTGGGATCGGTGGCCGAGTGGTCTAGCGCACACCAGCTCGGAGCACGTGGAGCGAAAGCTCGCGCTGCAGAACCCAGGGATCCTGGGTTCGAGCCCCACCCCTGCCCGTTTCGATCTGGATGAGCATCGTACCGGAGTGCGGTCGTGTATCACTACTGCGTGATGCACGTTAAAGAGCCCAGGCTAGCGGCTGTACCGCACTGGCTAAATTTCTCATCTACAGCTGGGAGACTCGTCGCCCCTGTGAGGCAGACCACGTTCTAGGCTGTATAAACACACACACAACCCAATTATTGGGGCACGCTCTTTCACGCGCTTCTGAACAAAAAATAAAAATAAACGTGCGGGACAAAATGGCGAGATGCCACCACCCTAAGCAAAGCGCACATGAAGGCACCCTATCTGTACCACGACCGGCTTTATAGAGGCGACCAGGTCACCCGAAGCAACGCGAGCGCGCCGCATTTGCTTTTGCTTATTCAGTACTTTCTCTGGTTCGCTGAACCGCCATCGCGTTTACTGGCACCGTAGCTCACCACACTAGCAGACGCTTTCGCTTGTGTATCTGTATCCGCTCCCCGACCGGCGACGTTGTGACGATAATCGGCTGAATGTTAAGGACTTTTCTCGTCGTTATTGCGATTGTACGTTCGGTAAATAGCCACAAGCTGATCTAGATCGCATTCTTCTTTGGTCAAAAGATAACAAACTTCCCCTAAACTTAAACTAAATGTGCTACCATGCACATCCCTGCCTCGCGCCAACATTCGACCCCTCCATCACTGTTGTGTTCTGATTTGTATAACTGCGTTGTGTTAGCAACATATGTACAAATCATCATCAGCACCATATGATCTGTACTTCATTTTCTTCTTTGTCGATAAAAGTCAGTCTGATTTGGAACGTTGACTGGGATGGTCCTGTTTCTGTTCTCTGCCGTGTCCCTAAGGACACTACATTTTTGGCGACGAGATACTGAGCCCATTACGGCTGTACTGCTAGTAGCCATGGCGTTCTTCTCTGCTGCATCGCCGCCCCCGTTCCTGCCTACGCCGGGACAGCCTGCAATTCCGTGGGAGCAGTGGAAGGGGGTGTTCCTGAATTTCCTGGGAGCTGCTGGCGGCGACGAATTGCAGCCGAATTGTCGGAAAGCAATTCTGCTGAATGCCCTGGGCGTTGAAGGACAGCGGGTGTTCTACAGCATCGCCGGGGCACGGACCGGTTAGTCACCTTCTACTGAGAAGCCTCGCGAGGGCAGCGACAAAACATCGAAGGATGGCGAGTCCGAAGGAATGCCATCAACTGAAGACGCGTTCCAATCTGCAATGACAGTGCTGGACGCTCATTTTGCCACGACTACGAGTGTGCTCGTAGACCGTCACCGGCTCCGACAAAGGCGTCAGGCGCCTAATGAGGCGTTCGAGGCCTACGCAGCCAGTCTGCGGGAACTTGCTTCTTCCTGTGACTACGGTGACGGCGTCGACAACGTCATTAGAGATCAGCTCCTCGAAGGCACTACCTCTCGTCAAATCCGAGAACGCCTGCTCTACGAAGGTTCTACCCTCACACTCCAGAGAGCGCTTGATATTGGCAGACATATTGAACAAATTCAACGGGAGATTCACGAGTTTGATGGTGACGCTTCTGTGCAGCGCGTTGCACCGAAGAAAACTGAGAAACCTTCTTCGGCAAAAGGATGTTGCTACCGCTGCGGGTCACCAACTCACAAGGCAAACTGCGAAAAATGCCCGGCGAAGAATAAGCGTTGTCGCCGCTGCAAGAAGATTGGCCACTTCGAAGCAGTGTGCAAGTCTAGCGAGATGTTCAGTGTTCAAGCCGTCAAGGATCCGAAGTCGGCGGAAGCTAACGTCGTCACCGTTCTGCATATCGGCGACGATTACACACGTGCACGGGAAATATCTACGGAGGTGCTCATCGGTAACGTTCCCATTCGTTTTTTTGTGGATACAGGGGCCACGGTTTCCCTGTTGAGCGAAGAAGACTACCGCAAGAACTTCGCTGAAAGGTATCCTCTGAGTGCGACGTCAGTCGTATTGCAAAACTACACGAAGGAGGAAATCCCAAGCGTCGGATGTTTTCTGGCCGAGGTAACCTACAGAAACAAGGACGCCTGCGTCATGTTCTACGTGACCAAAAGAGGAATTTCGCTGCTGGGACTCGACGCCAACCGTAACCTTCGTATCAACATTGAAGGAGAAACACTCAGCTGTTTTCAGGCTGCTACTTCACCGGCGTCCACGTTGCTACCGCCGAGTCTACGGGAGGAGTTTGGACAACTTTTTACCAAAGAGCTCGGTCTTGCTAAAGACTTCGTGCACCAAGTTCAGCGACGTACGTCCGTGCAGGCGGTTACGGCTAAACTTCGAAGTCTGCCACTGTCTCTTCGGAATCAAGTCTCCGAGGAGTTGCGACGACTGGAATCGTCAGGAATAATTGAACGCGTGGACGCATCTCAGTGGGTGTCCCCTATCGTGGTAGTACGCAAGAAGGACGGTTCTCTTCGCCTATGCGTCGACCTACGTGAACCCAACAAGGCCATCGTCATCGATGGATTTCCGCTTCCTCGCACGGAGGAGTTGCTTCACCAGTTGGCGGGCGGCACCTGTTTCTCAAAACTGGACTTGGCCTCCGCCTACCACCAAGTCCCACTGGCTACAGACAGCCGTGAGTTAACCACCTTCATTACTCACGAGGGTCTTTTTCGTTTTCGGAGAATCTGTTTTGGTCTGGCGTCCGCCCCCGCTGCTTTCCAGAAGATGATGGCGCAGATTTTGAAAGGCTTCGAAGGCGTCTTGTGCTGTATTGATGATATCATCATTTGGGGCAAGACAAGTGAAGATCATGCAGCTAACTTACATGAGGTTCCGCGTCGTATCAAAGCATCAGGCCTCCAGCTTAACGACAAGTGCCTTTTCAATGTCAACGAACTTTCGTTCCTTGGGCATGTTGTGAGCGATAAAGGCTTGGAACCGTTACGCTCGAAAGTGGACTCAATTGTTCACGCACCTGTTCCAGAGGACGTAAAAGAATTACGGTCCTTCCTTGGCCTGGCAGGCTATTACGCACGGTTCGTGCCTCATTATGCTGACGTCGTTGAACCACTGCGAAAGTTGCTGCGTCAAGGTCAGCCATTTGTATGGGATGACGCTACACAGCACTGTTTTGTTTAAGTGAAAGCTGTCCTGTCATCTGGGCGAGTGATACGGATGTTTCAGCCTGATCTACCGGTCGTGGTGACGACTGATGCGTCAAACAAGGGGCTGGGCGCAGTGCTACAGCAGCGGTATGGCAGCGAGCTCCACACCGTAGCTTTTGCTTCACGAACCCTGTCTCCTGCTGAGAGAAGGTACTCTGTGGGGGAGAGAGAGGCGTTGGCTTGTGTTCTTGCGTGTGAGCACTGGCACGTATACCTGTGGGGACGTCGTTTTGTACTGAGAACAGACCACCAAGCACTGGTGACTTTGCTAGCATCCAAGGGATCGGGACGTCGGCCATTGCGAATATCAAGATGGTCTGCGCGGTTGCTGTATTACAACTTCGACATTGAGTACCAGCGGGGCGCAGACCATTGCGTGGCTGATGCCTTGTCACGATTACCAGCGGAAGATCTTACAGGTCAAGAGAAAGAGGAGGAGATAGTTTCCATTGTTACATCATATGTAACCAAGGGCCAGCTGCAAGAAGCAACCGCAGCAGATGCTACTCTGCGGGAAGTTGTGCGTTTCGTCCACGAGGGATGGCCCTCAAAGAAGTCGTTGGACACTAAACAGGTTCCATTTTACCACGTTAGGAAGAACTGTCGGTGGTTGACAAGCTTGTGCTGCGGGAGAAGAAAGTGGTCATACCTGATGCTCCGACGCCGTTGATGGTACGCTATGCACATGAAGCCCACCCTGGTATTGTGCGGACAAAGCAAAGGCTCAGGAACCGGTTTTGGTGGCCTCGCATGGACCGTCAAGTGGAGTTAGAAGTTAGAAGCTGCCACATTTGCCAGGAAGCAGACAAGTCTGCAAAGCCTGTGCCCGCTCCCCTGCAGCCGGTTGCTTTACCGGATCGGCCATGGCAGAAGTTGGCCATGGATATTGTCGGACCCCTGGCTCGAGCACCGTTAGACAAAAAGTTTGTCATAACACTGATAGACTATCACTCAAAATGGCCTGAGCTCTACTTTACAAGCCATGTGACCTCGCAAACGGTCATTGAGTTTCTCCGCTCGGTGTTCAGTAGGGAAGGGTATCCCGATGAGATGGTAACAGATAATGGTACACAATTTAAATCCAAAGAGTTCGAGGATTTTCTTCAAGAAAGGGGAATCCGGCACTGCCTGTCTTCAGTATACTATCCGCAAGCGAATGGATTGATTGAAAGGTTCAATCGTGTCTTAAAGGACTTCATCCAGCTTGCTATCCTCGAGAATCGCCCTCTGCAGTCTGCGGTCACCGACTATCTGGGCGTTTACAGATGTACCCCACACGGCACGAATGGAATATCCCCTGCCGTTCTACTGCACGGTCGGCAGCCAAGAACAAGGTTAGATATAATAGGACTGCCATCCAAGGACTTTTTTCAACGACCAGAAGCCGGAATGAAATCTCTTCGGAAGAGAGTCAAGGAGCGGCAGAGCAAAAGCAAGGCTACACTGACGAGAAACGTGGTGCAAAAGCTGCCAAGTTTAAGCAAGGCGATTTCGTCAGAGTACGGAAGCCGCCTGGTGGCACGAAAGGAGACCTTAGGTATACGACACCGTTGAAGATCCTTCAAAGAAAAGGACCAGGCACGTTTCTGCTGGAAGACGGACGGACGTGGAACGTTTCAAAATTAGTTCTCGCCCCTCAAGTGGGAAAAGAAAAAGAACCAGGTTGGCCAGGATGGTTACCGTTGAATTCAGGGGCACCGATGGAAACGCAGTCAGTTCTACCTCGCCTGCGATCGTTGCAAGACGAGCAGCTGCCTGAACTTGCTGCGGCAGAGCAGAGGACACCGCCTGGACCGGAGGAGTCTACCTCCGCGCCTCTCCCAGCTTCCCAGCAAATGTCGCAACCGGACACTAACGTGCGGCAGCCCTTAACACGATCACGTAAACCACCAAGCTGGTTACGGGATTATGTCACATAACATGTGAAGCAATGAAGGACACACATCAGACACGGATACTTTGTTTCGCTTCGTGTAACTGAAATAATGTTTCTTCTTTTTTTTTTTTTTTACGGGAAGGTAATGTTGTGTTCTGATTTGTATAACTGCGTTGTGTTAGCAACATATGTACAAACCATCATCATCACCATATGATCTGTACTTCATTTTCTTCTTTGTCGATAAAAGTCAGTCTGATTTGGAACGTTGACTGGGATGGTCCTGTTTCTGTTCTCTGCCGTGTCCCTAAGGACACCACATTTTTGGCGACGAGATGCTGAGCCCATTACGGCTGTACTGCTAGTAGCCATGGCGTTCTTCTCTGCTGCATCGCCTTCTGAACAAAAAATAAAAATAAACGTGTGGGACAAAATGGCGAGATGCCACCACCCTAAGCAAAGCGCACATGAAGGCACCCTATCTGTACCACGACCGGCTTTATAGAGGCGACCAGGTCACCCGAGGCAGCGCGAGCGCGCCGCATTTGCTTTTGCTTATTCAGTACTTTCTCTGGTTCGCTGAACCGCCATCGCGTTTACTGGCACCGTAGCTCACCACACTAGCAAACGCTTTCGCTTGTGTATCTGTATCCGCTCCCCGACCGGCGACGTTTTGACGATAATCGGCTGAATTTTAAGGACTTTTCTCGTCGTTATTGCGATTGTACGTTCGGTAAAGAGCCACAAGCTGATCTAGATCGCATTCTTCTTTGGTCAAAATATAACAAACTTCCCCTAAATTTAAACCAAATGTGCTACCATGCACATCCCTGCCTCGCGCCAACATTCGACCCCTCCATCACTGTTGTGTTCTGATTTGTATAACTGCGTTGTGTTAGCAACATATGTACAAATCATCAACATCACCATATGATCTGTACTTCATTTTCTTCTTTGTCGATAAAAGTCAGTCTGATTTGGAACGTTGACTGGGCTGGTCCTGTTCCTGTTCTCTGCCGTGTCCCTAAGGACACCACAACCACTTTTCCTGAACCGAGTGGAGATCCCAAGAAAAACGCATATCCACCTCCTAGGTGTCATCATCGACCAGCATTTCGATTTCCATCGCTACGTCCAAAGCGTCGAGTCCGGGTGAAAGGTGACTCCTTGGCTTCATCATTCGGTCCACAAGAAGAGCCAGTCGCGATATGCCCAGGTTGCTGTTTACAGCACTGGTGTTGCCTATCCTGAAGTTTTGCTGCATGGTGTGGGATTCGGCTACCAGGCAACTTGTTGCCCCCCTTGAGTCGGTGCAACACCGCGCTTCCTACCTTATGGTATATTCGGCTGGTCACTTTCGAGCACTCCAATCATCCGAGTCGTAGCTACCAGATCCCGGAGCGCCTCCGCATCGGAGCGAGAGAGTCGGCGCGCCCAGCCGAACGCTCCTCAACCTTTCAGAGCGGCAAGCCGAGCGGATAGAGGGTGGCGTGCGCCACTAGAGGACGGCGTGAGCCGCCCTCTAGCGGAACTTTTGCTCTTTGGATTCAAAGGGTTGAGCACTATTCAGTTATCCATCCATCTGTAAATCCTTGAAAAATGGCAACCGTCAACGCGGACGTTGATAAGGTCATCGCAAGCCAGCCGTGCCAAGCGGAAGTTCCTGCGAAACTATCAAAAAAAGAAACATTACAGCTTGGGAGTGAGAATACGTTTATTTCAGAAAGGGGACACCGGATACCTTGACGAAAGTCATCTTATCCGGTGGGGGATGTAGAGGGTAGGGGTTGGGAAAAAGGGAAAAAGGGAAGGGGTTATATATATTGGGCTAGCCCCGCCTTCTTGACGAAGTCAAGAAGGGTGTCGAGGATTAGCTTCCTCTCTGGAGGACCTCTGTTGGGGGTAACCCAGTCTTCGTAGTTTTGTGGTGTGAGTTCGGCGGCAAGTCTTGAGATCGCTTCCTGTCGTTTTCTTGCTGTCGCTTGACAGTCCCAGATAAGGTGTCTACAGGTAGCCGGTACATGGCATTCTGTGCAGTTAGGGTCAGGGCCCGGGTCGTCCTCTGATGTTCGTTTGTAAAAACGCTTTCGTAGAACTGGTGTAATGGCCGTGTTGGTAGCGAGGCGCCGGAGGCACACCCGCTCCCACCGTGAGTATTTTGATGGGAGCGGGTGTTCCTCCGTTGGCAGTAGAGCAGTCAACCTCGCTTTCCGCTCTTGTCTTGCGAGTGTCTTTATTTCATCGGGATCGAGGTCCTCGGTGGGTATTGTGGCGGAGGAGTCCAGGAGGCCTTGTGCGGAGCAGGTTGCTTGTAGCGTGCTCCGCGCGGCCTCATGGGCTTCTTCGTTTCCCGGGATATCTTGGTGTCCCGGAATCCATGAAATTTTGAGGGTGATTCCTTTAGTTCGGAGATAGCGGGCTGCGGCTTTGATGTCATTCACAGTCTTGTTACGGCTGCTGGCTTTCCTGCATTCTCTAACAGCCTCTTGGGAGTCAGTGTAGATGAAGATTTCTGTGGGGTGCTCATCCTCTTGGGCATTTTCTAATGTCCAAAAGATTGCTTGGAGTTCAGCGGTTTTGGCACTGGGGGTATAAGGGAGGATTTTAGCGCTTGTTTCGCCGGTGCGGAAGGAGTACCAAGCAATGGCTGTCTGATAAATACAAGCTTTACTGTCAGCTTTAGAGTGTGGACGGTGCATCCATCGCGGTTCTCGGTCCAGGAACAAGTGCCCGAGCTCTCACTAGCACGCGATTGTCACGAGGCTCGCGGCATCGGCTGCTTAGTCCACCTGCCGGTGGCGCCGGTACATAACACCTCTTCCCCCTCAGATGTAGCTCCCATAGCGTTCTGGAGGGTGCCTATTTCTTGGAGGTTGCTCCCTTCTTCCGCTTCCGGCGTCTGTCGTATGTTCCGGCGTTGTCTCGGAATTATCTTGAAATGACGATCTCTCGGTAGGGTGATCGTGTTGAGAGTCCGAAACAGGAGCAGGAACAGACCACTCAGCCGATGGAGTCGATGTCGTAAATCGACGCCTTATTTGATCCACGTGGCGGCGGGTTGATCCAGTTGCTGTCTCTACCAGCCAGGAGCGAATTCCAAGTCTTTTGGTCAACTTTCCTTGGATCCACTTGGGGGTTCCTTTGAAGTTTAGGACATAGACTGCCTGTCCCTCTTGAAATACCCTGGAAGGCGGTGTCTTTTCCATATCTCGTTCCTTGTGACTACTTTCTCGACGAGGAAGGAGTCTACTGATGTTAGTAGCAAGCTCCCTGTTGAACATTAAAAATGCTGGTGTTTTTCCTGTCGAGCTGCAAACTGAGTTGTGTTGTTTGTACAGGAATCTAGCAATTCTCAGTGAGAGCGATCCCGTTTTCTCTCTTGACAAACTTTGCTTAAGTTCGTAAACCATGCGCTCGGCTTGGCCATTTGTCGCTGGATGGTACGGAGCGCTGGTCACAAACTTCACGCCATTCTTTTCATAAAAGTCTGTTATCTCCTTCGATACGAAGACGCTTCCGTTGTCGGAAACAATCTTGCGAGGCAGTCCAAAAGTTGCGAACATACCTCGGAGTTCTTTGATGACCGCTGCAGATGTGGCACTAGTCATGCTTCGCACTTCTAGCCACTTCGTGTAGGCATCTACAACGACAAGGAACATGTTTCCTTCCAGGGGGCCTGCAAAGTCCAAATGCAGCGTGTCCCAAGGAAGTGATGCGTGATCCCACGTAGGAAGCGGTGCCTTGCTTGGTATCTTCCTGGACTCTTGGCAGATGGGGCAGCTGCCAACAGCGTCCTCTATGTCGCGGTCGATGCCAGGCCACCACACATAGCTGCGTGCAGATGACTTCATGGCCACAATTCCCTTGTGTCCAGCATGCACTAAATTCATGGCTTCAGGTCGTGCCAAGGCTGGTATGACCACCCGGGATCCCCATATGACACATCCTCTTTGAGTGGACATCTCTGCGCCTTTTTTTCTGTACGCGGTAAAGTCCTTCTCCGTGAGCTCATGAAGCTTGCCTTGCTGCACAGCCTCGTAGACGCGGGACAGAATCGGATCCGCGCATGTCATGGCTGCTATCTTCTCTGCTGTCAGCGGAGAACTTGTCAAGGCTTCAATCATCAGGACGTCTCCCGGTGAGCAAGGCTCGTCGTCACTGTCAGGTAGGGGCAGACGGCTTAGAACATCCGCGTTCTGGTGTCGTTTTCCAGGCCTGTACACGAGTTTGTAATCGTACGCCGATAGTTTGACGCACCATCGCCGCATTCGGGGTGACAAGACTTGTGGTACCGGCTTCTGCGGTCCCAAGATGCCAAGCAGTGGTTGGTGATCGGTGATAATAACGACACTTCGTCCGGCGATGTATTGGTGAAAGTGCATCGCCCCAAACACCACTGCTAATCCTTCTCGATCAAGCTGCGAGTAATTTTTCTCGGCATCCCCTAGAGTTCTTGACGCGAATGCGATTGGAGCTTCCCTGCCCTCGTGGTCGACCTGCGCAAGAACTGCGCCGACGCCATATGGTGACGCATCACAGGACAGAAGCAGTGGTTTTGACTCATCGTAGTGAGCCAACGTTGTCTTGCGGAGTACCAACTCTTTCAACTTCCGGAAAGCGAGGGCATGGCGCTCTTCCCAGTGCCAAGGGACGTTCTTGGCTAGTAGTCTGTAGAGATCGCAGGCTACAGTCGCTCGGTTTTCTAAGAACCTGTCGTAGAATGCGAGCATTCCGAGGAACGACTGCAGCGTGGCTTTTGACGTAGGTTCTGGCAACTCCCTGAACGCCTTGATCTTGTCGTTGGTTGGATGAACACCAACCGCATCGATCGTGTGGCCCAGGTAAGTGACCTCAGGAACGCCAAATAGGCACTTCTCACGGTTTGCTCGCAGGCCAGCTTCTTGGAGTCTTGACAGGACAAGGTTCAGGCGCTGGGCGTGTTCCGCGGTTGTGGCACCGCTGACAATGATGTCGTCCAGATACACGCTGACACCGGATATTCCTGCAAGTGTTGTCTCCATGCATTTCTGGAAAATGGCTGGTGCTGCCGAGACGCCGAAAGGAAGTCGCTTGACACGATAAAGGCCCTTTATCGTGTTGATGGTAAGAACGTCAGCTGTGTTCTCGGTGACTCGTAACTGCTGGTATGCTTGAGCCAGGTCGATGGTGGAGAAAATTCTCCCTCCCCGCAGCTTTGCGAGCACCTCTGTCACTGTCGGCAGTGGATATGACGCTTTGAGCGTCACAGCGTTCACGGTGCTGCGGTAGTCACCACAAAGTCTGATGCTGCCGTTTTTCTTCCTTACTACTACAACGGGTGTTGCCCAATTCGAGTGCTGAGTCTGTTCAAGGATGCCTTGTTCCGTGAGACGTTGCAGCTCGGCTTCCACCGCTGGTTTGAGCGCGAATGGCACAGTGCGAGCTCGTAGAAACTTGGGTGACGCGTTGTCTTCCAGTTCTAGGCTTACCGCTGGTCCGTTGTAGCCGTTCAGGTTTCCGTCAAAAACTGACCCGTACCTTTCGATGGTGGCTGTCAGGCTGCCGTCCAACACCACCTGGTGCACGCCGCTGAGGCCAATTCCCAGGGCTGCAAACCAATTCCGCCCAAGAAGGTTACATCCGGGGTGCTTCATCACAAGAAGAGGCAAATTCACTTTCAGTTTCTTGAACTGGACCATGACGTGAATTGTTCCCAGAGATTCGATGCCTTCCCCAGACCAGGTACGCAGAGCGATGTTATCGTCTGTAAATTCTGGAGGGTTCCTCGGCCACGCTGCTCGGAACGTTTGTTCGCTGATCAAAGAAAACGCCGCTCCCGAGTCCACCTCAAATCTGAGAGGAACACCCTGAACCTCCAGGCTTATCATAACCTTCTCTGCCGGCTCCCGCCGCGGTGTTACGGCGTAGAAGTCACCCAGCGTGCCTGACGGTTCTGTAAAGGGGGCATGATTTTCCTGTGGTTCGAGTGCCTGTACGGAGTTTTGGCTGTTTTTCTTTCTCTTGAAGCAAGCTTTCGCGATGTGTCCCGTCTTTTTGCAGTACCGACACTGCGATGTTCGGAACTTGCAAGAACTAGGACTGTGGAGTTCTTCGCAGCGATAGCAGGGCGTGGACGATGGCGTCGTCTTCTCCTGGCGATGATGCGCCGGACGCGTTTTTTCCGCTTTGTTTATTTCTTGAAAATCTGCTTTTATTTGCCGCTGGTGGTCCTTGGCGCTCTCGGCTCGTACGGCAATGTCGAACGCCTTGAGAAACGTAAGGTCCCGCTCCGCAAATAGCCGCTGCTGGAGATTTTCATTTTGAAGACCGCAAATAAAACGATCGCGCAACATTATGTCCATGGGTAACATCGTCGCGTTGCTGGAAACCGCTGTTGTGACCGTGCTGACCGTGCCGTCGGCTGCCCCAGCAGCTAGTGCTGAGACGGGAAGGCTAGCTGTGCTAGTCGTCGGAGTCACTTGAACGTTCCCAAAATTGCAGTCTGCTGCAAGCGAAACAAGTCCTACCGTCCTCGTTTCGCGACGCGTCTGTGTAAATGACTTTATTGGTCTTACATTGAAGGAGATGTTCTATCTCTTTTATGTGTCTTTTAGCAACATTTTTTCTTCTATTACAGTGCTCTTTGCTCTGATTTTGGGGTATAGGCTTGATCTCTGTTATGCATTCGTCTTCCCATGGAGGAGGAGAAGTGGCTATAGCTGGAATTTCAAAGTCCGTTATTCCGAGGTGCTTAAGGATGATTCTTCCCGGTTCGGTTCTTTTGAGGCGGTCTCTCTGACTGTTTTGTGCTTCTTTTGCTAGTTCTTTGATTGTGTTTATTTGAGCCGCTTTGTGTAGGTCGGGAATGCGGGTTATCTTGGGCAAACCCGTGATAACTCTCATAGCTGCCTTGTTAAGGGTTTCAACTTGATCTTGCCGGGTCTTGGTAAGACGAAGGTAGTTATAACCGTAAATGGCTTTGGAGACGAGCAGTGATCGTACCAATAGTTTTAAAGGTTTTTCTTCTGCCCCCCAAGCTTTGGTTGTTGTTCTCTTGATAAGGTTAAGGCCGCGTCTCCATTGTATCTTAATCTGGTTCAGCCAGCTCCGTGCTCCCCCATCCTCGTCGATTGTGAGACCGAGGATCTTTACACTTGGTTGTCTTTGAATTTTGGTGCCATCAACGTACAAATTAATGGTGTCTCCGATGTTTTTCTTTCTAGCCCTCTTTGAGGCGACGACTGTGTAGGTGGTCTTTTCGGCTGAGATTATCATATTTGTTTCATGCATAAAGTTCATGGTAACATCCAGGGCTTCTTGAAGTCGCCTTTCTTGAATGTTGGGTGTGCCTTTGTTGATCCATAAGGTGACGTCGTCAGCGTATATAGTGTAACGTACGTCTCGAATTGCCTCCAGGTGGAATGCTAGGTCAGCCATGGCCATGTTAAATAGTACTGGGGAGATGACCGCTCCTTGGGGAACTCCTACCGTGTTTCTTGTGAGGGGGCTCGTGGTGCCTCCAATGTGAACTTGAAATTTGCGTCGATGAAGGAAGGATTTGATGAAGTTTAGTATTCGTCCACGTAGGCCTCGATTTTTTGCTCCTCGAATGACTGTTTCATGTGGGATGGAGTCGAAAGCTTTTTTGATGTCGATCGCCACTATTGTACGAGGCTGAACTGTAGGTTGTAATTTGGTTATGTCATGGTGAATCATGGCTAGACTGTCTTGTGTGGACAGGTGTGGACGGAATCCAGTTTGCATTGGGTGTAGCCTGTTGTGTGACTCTAGGATCCAGGTTATTCTGGCCAGGACCATACGTTCCATTACTTTACATAAGTTGGAGGTTAGCGAGATGGGTCGGAGGTTCTGGATGTCATTGTTGGGTTTGCCCGATTTCGGAATGGGAATTACGGTGGATATCTTCCAGTCATCGGGAAGTTGACCGGATTCCCATATCTCGTTGTATTTGTCTAATAGCTCACGCATTTCTTCATCCGGAAGGTTTCGGAGTGCTGTGATGGTAATGTGGTCCGGGCCTGGAGCTGTGTTGCTTTTTGCTTTTGCTAGAGCGTCCAAGAGCTCACCCATGGTGAAGGGGGAGTCTTCTGGCATTAATGCGTTTATGGGTTCCGGCGCATAGCAAGTATCCGGTGGTTCCTTGGCTGGTTGAGGGAAGAAACTCTCTCCCGCTGCTTTTGCTAGCTCTTCTTCTGTTATGTTTAGCCGTAATGCGAGGTTGGAACCGGTGTTTTTGCTTTTGGTTTTGCAGTTCATTCCTCGATATGTGTTCCATACCTTCTTTAGTCCAGTCTTTTCACCGAAGGAGCTGCAGTGTGCCCACCATCTGTTTCGTCTAAGTTCGAGAGTGTACCTTTTGGCCCTTGCCGTGGCTAAGTTAAGTTTGGTCCGAAGTGCTCGATTTTGTTTATTTTTTCGGTATTTCTGGAGCGCTTGGAGGCGGCTAGCCCAGAGATTGAGGAGATGAAGGTCGGGTATAGGAGAATCTTCTTTAATCTGGTATACTGTCTTTGCGACCTTAAGGGCCCGCTGGATACGGGTGGCAAGGTGTCCTTCCTTGCTTGCGGCTATGGCGGTGCGGAAGACATCCCATTTAATGAATTTCGCCTGATGTTTGGCTGGAGTCGTTGTTTTAAGTTGAATGACTATGGGCAGATGGTCGCTCACCATCGGATCTGGCAACGTATGCCAGGAGGCTTTGAAGTTCTTCGTGGCCCAGGTGAGGTCCGGGGTTGTGTCGTTGTGCCTGGTGCTTGTTGCGATCCTTGTAGGGGTGTCGGGCTCGTTAAGAAGGACCAGCCTCAGTTGCTTGCATTTGCTGGTTATATTCCGTCCTCGTTTGTTAGCTTTTTTGTACCCCCACTGTGGGTGTTGGGCGTTCATATCCCCAGCGATGAGTGTGGGTGTGGTGCCTTGCACTGTGGCATCGAACCAGTCTGCGTTGTCTCCTTCTTTCTGTCCCGGTCTAATGTAGACGTTGTAGATGTCGAATGGTTGATTGCCTATGCGTAACTTAACTCCCACAACTTCTCTGGCTCCGTTACATATTTGCGAGGTATCTATTTGTGATTGTGTTGTACTGTTCAAGACGAGGGTGGTTGCTTGGCCATAGGTTGTACCAGTGGATTGTTGGCTTTGGTAGTTGCGGGATCGTCGGACGATGGTGGGATGAATATATGTAGTGTACCCTCGAATATTGAGGTTTTCGACGTTTGCTTCCTGTAGGAGGATGACGTGTGGTTTGTTTTCCCTCATTTTCTCTAATCTTTCTTTAAGTTCCGCTGCCTTGTTATTAAATCCCCTGCAGTTCCATTGTAGAACCCAAGGAAATATCGCCTTACGTTTGGGTTTGTTTTCTTTGTTGTGTTTGGGCAAGTTAATCATTTAGTCGTTTGAGGATATCTCGTAGGGTTTGCGAGATGTTTTTGAGGGATTTTTCGACTCTGTCCATGCGTTGTTCCATTGCCGTTAGACGTTGCTCGCAGCTGGTGTGATTATGTTGTTCTTGCCAGTTTGAGTTTCCGCAATTTGTGGCTGGAGAAATTTGCAGGTTTTGCACGGTTGATGAGGTGACATCTGAAACTTTTCCGAATACCATGGGTGGAACGTATGGATTGACATTGCGAGGTGTTGCCCATGCTCCTTGTGGGGGTGGGTTAGTCCATGATTGTGAAGAGTTTGATCCGGGGGGTGCTAGGTCCATTTTTGTCATATTGAAAAGGGGTCTTTTTCCCTGGAGTGTCTGAGCCGGGAGTCTTTTTGGAGGAATTTTTCGCTTGGGGCAGTCGTTACTTGTGGCAATGTGGGGACCACCGCAGTTTATGCATTTAGGCTGTAGTTCACATCCGGACTCGCTATCATGAGTGTGTCCGCATCGGTCACAGCTCTTGATGCCGCTGGGGCAGACGTCCGATTTGTGGCCTATTTCATGGCATGAGTAACAGACGAGAGGTCTTGGTCGATAGTCGGTTACTCTGAATATTTCGCAGAGGAAACGAACGTGCTTTGGAATAGATTTCCCATCGAAAGTGATCAAGATGGTCCTGCCCGACCGCCCAATGGGACGAGCTGCGACGATCGTGTGTGTTCTGCAGTCAAGACTTTCTATGAGGGTTTCAGGAGTTTCTTGCACGTCGTGTCCAGAAAGGTAGATAACTCCGCGGATTTGATCATTTGAAACCGCCATGTAGGGTTTCATCTCGTAGCTTTGTTCGCCCTTGACGATTTGGTTGATGTTGAGTAGTTTATTCGTAAGGAGGGGGTTCTTTGTTGTGATCGCAATAGTGTTAGATTTCTGGTTGCGGTGGACGGAGAAGTCATCTTTGTTTTGAATTCCTGCCTTTTCCATCGCCCCAACAATGTCTCTGCCGGTGAAGTTGTCTACGCGCTCTTTGCACGTTGGTTTCAGAACGACCGTGTGCCTGGGTGTTCTCTGCGTTGCTTGCGTGATTTTCTGCTGATGGTAAGTAAAATTGGCACGTTGTCTTTCTTGTCTTTTTTGTGAACCTTGAAATTGAAATCCATCATCTTCCATGTTCTCGACTTCTCTCAATGAATTCTCATTCGAGTTGGTTGATGTGGAAGGCATGTTATGCGTTGTCGTCATGGTGGACCGAGTCAGCGATTCTTTCTCACCCGTTTCGCCTTGTTGGGGTGGTGTCTGGGAATTTCGCTGAGCTCGGAAAATCTCGAATTCGTTCTTGTGCGTGAAGTACTCTTGAAAAGCGACACCATTCGTGACCATTTCTTCGTAGGCTCCACTGTTGGAGCGGAGCGACTCAATGAGTTCTTTATTCCTTATGTAGAACTCGATAGATACTCGATTCTGCATAAATTCTTCGATCGCTTGGCGTTCTTGGGTACATGCCACTAAAAACTGGCTGTCCTGTGGTGAGAGTGTTGAAAAATCCAACTGACCTTGTTGGGTAGGGTGTCCTGTGGTGTTGCTTGGAGCCGGGTAGGGGCTCGCGTTCGTCTGCTCCATGGAGAGGGCCTTCGTGCCAGAGCGTCTTTTGCCAGCTGGCGTCGTCAAAACGATCTCCGAAAATACTGATGGTTTGGCGTCCGGGCCCGTGGGCGGTGCGGGTTGGCTTTCTGGTGTCTTCTCCAGGGTGTCAAGTCCTGGAAGGGCCCCTCGGGGCAACGAGTGCCGGTAAAACTGACCTGTAAGGCCGAATTGTTAGGCTTATCAGAGCGCTAAGAAAACACGTCCTTCATGGACGATCTTCGTCGTCGTCTCCCATTACAGCTTGAAAACTCGTACTTTTGTACTTACCGCTTTGTCCGAGTAGGTTCGCACTATAAAAACATGGGCCTTGTCCTTGGGCACCGTACAAGGCAACGTTGGTACAAGGCAACGTTAGGTACAAGGTGCGTCAAACAACTCGGCAAACTTCGCTTCGCAAACACGGTCCTCGTCGTCGTAGTCCGAGCTGCTGGTGTTGTCGCTGTCTGCTAGCTTCGCCGGCAGCACTGGCGGTGCCACCACTAACATTAAACGTCTTCGTTTCAACGACATTTCACCTCAATTCGGGG